CTACCACCATCCCTACCACTACTGCCACGGCCACTACCTCTACCACAACTGCTACTCCTACAGGCCTACAGGCGAGACCAAGCATCAGGAAGAGCACGTACACACGGCGCCTCCTAGCCGGCAGCCCGAACAACGCAGCATCGCTCATGATGACTTGGTGCTCGTATCCGCGGTTCCCCATTTCTGCGAGCAGAATATCGAGATTGCTGGTGGCCCCCCGATCGTCTATGGTATCGACGTTCTCGAAGACGACGATGGCAGGAGAGTGATGCTGCACATACTCCAGCATGCCGCGGAAGGTCTGGGCCGATCCTCCCTTCCTAAGCGTAACAGTTGGATGNNTTAACAAAACTAAAATGACATTAAAATGACAAAACAATCTAACAATCAGTTACGACTAGACGGGCTTGCCGTTATAAACAGGTGAGTTTCGAGCTCTCGGTCCCGAGCACCGCTTCCTTTTGCTTGTGCTTGTTCGGGTTTGCCCGTGACATATCTTTGCAACTGGTCCCCAGAATCAAGATATCCACCTGAGGGATGGGGCAGTTGCCCAACGCCAACTGATACTGATCTCCGCGGGCACGGTCGGAGACCTTAGTCGAATCTCTTCCTGATGCCTTGGTGGTGGCTCGCTGCTTTCCATGAACGGCACAAGAAGCATGATCTCCGCCCAGCTGGCATATATCCATAAATATGCATGGGTCATCTTCAGACTCTTCAGCCTTTTCATCTTCATCTTGCGGACCTTCGTGCCGAGGCGAATCACCGCCTTGCCACTTCTTCTTGATCTTGTGCATACATTCTTTCGTGCAGGAATTGACCATAGAAATCCACTGCATCTTCTCCTTGTTGCTCTCGCAGCTGAAAACATGCCTGGATCGAAGATGCTGTCCCATCTCACCTGCAATGATACGTAATGCTTCAAAGCAAAACTTTACTCCCTCCGAACCACTACAGCAAGACGCCCAGGTCAGAGACCGCGATGGCCAAATTGAGCGACCTGTCATGTCTGCTGCAACATGGGTATTCTCCTGCGCTGCTTGCAACAACCAAGTACCATCATGCAAGGCTTCTGATCGCAGGAGTCGGGAGCGACCTTTTTCCATCCAAGATTCCAGTTCGAGAGGATCCACCGTAGCATGCCTTCTCAATTGTCGAGCCATGCCACGTCAGTGAGCCAATGAGCCCCAGGGCCCAGGGCAGCCCAATTGCCAATTGTTATACAACCCGACCCGAATTCGTAAGTATATCTAAGTTGACCTGTGATTATATTGCAATTGACATTGACCTAAAATGAGACTGAAGCTGAAACGGAAGCCAAACAGTAAAGCAGCTGAGTTCATGATCGCATCAAGAAAGCCATGCAAACACATCGACTCCACTCGCCGCACGATTTCTGTTACGCCGCGACTGCCCGTCGGAGACGGTGAATCTCTGAATCCGAGCGCTTGGGATCAGCCTCTATGGCCGCTCAAGCTTTCCGCACATGACACGGGTCCTAAGTGACCCCAAATCAAAATTTGAAATTGAAAGCCCTATCGGCGGACAATCGATAGATTGAACCTCCAGCCATACCCCAGGCCAGAGGCCGCCTCGGATCACTTGGAGTTCCGTTGGGCCATCATCTTCGCCAGTCCCATGCCGCTCCCCTGGTCCTTCTTAGCGGTCTTACCTTTGCCCTTGCCCTTGCGTTTGGGAGCGGTTTCTGCTTCTGGCGCTGGTGGGGATGGGACACCACGACCACGGCCACCGCCGCGGCCACGACCACGGCCGCCACGAGGCGAGATAACAGCAGGGCCCTCACCCTCAAGCCGCGAGGAGGCTGACGGATCATCTACTTCTTTCGGCTGCTCCTTCTTTGCACGCTTCTGCACTTTGGGATTCTTGACTTCGCCCGTTGGATCATTCTTGTCGTTCTTCTCTTTCTTGGCTTTCTTGTCTTTCTTGTCCTGA